AAGCGTACGAGTGGGAAAGATAAACGAAATACTTTCTCGATAAAATCCACAATCAATTCATATTCTTATTCAATAATCAACCACTTCAAATAATAGATGTGTAAATGTATGATTATTTTGCTTGAAAGACCTCTTGTACCTATCACGAAGCCCTTCGTTTAAAATATTTGATGAGATAATAATAGATGTGTAAATGTATGATTATTTTGCTTGAAAGACCTTTTGTACCTATCACGAAGCCCTTCGTTTAAAATATTTATATCTCATCGACTCCGATCTCCGACACCCACTTTTTTTTTTTTTTTTTTATTATTTGGGAGTGTAATTTGCCAAATTGAGGGGACAGATAAAGTTGGAGAAATTTATTTTGTTTTGGATCTATGAGAGAAATTTATTCGACTAACTTCTAAACTGTATTTCTCCAAAATAAAAGGGCGAAAAAATCAATTTATTTCCGTTCCTGAAACAATACATAAGAATAATATTTTGTATTCATTACATTTAAAAAGTAGAGAAAAAAATACTACTGAATTACGTTAGCATAGAGTCGTGTTTGGTAAAAAGAGTTTTAAGCTAGAATTAGAGATTTGGATCTTAATAGAGTCGTTTAACTAGATCTTATGTTCGACATATTTGGTAGAAGAGAGTTTTAATTTATTTATTTTTTTGTGTGTTCTTAAAGCTATTTTTGAAGAAGTTTCAAAAAGGAGCTTTTCTTGTGTAGAGGATTGAATAATATTCGTGAAATGTAATTTTATATATTTTTACTATTAATTATATTTAGCAGTAGTTATACATAATTAAATAAGCCAAGTATATTAATTAACTATTAGTAATATTTTATTTTTTACAAATTCAACCTAATATATTCAGAGATTTACAACTTCAAATATTATAAATCTAATAACTTAAACTAATTATTGTTGTTAAGTTGATTATATATAACTAGTCAATTTTGAGTTCAAGTAAAAATAATGCTTAGTGAAAGAAACACGAATGAATCTTAATCAGAATATCTGATCATCCAAACGTAAAAAATAAGTCAAATATTTACACACACAATGTACTCTCTCTCACGCACACACTTTACACACACTACTCCACACTGTGCACACACGATTCACACACACACACTGCCGGCACAGCTCCGTCGCCGCCTGCCGCTCGCCACCGCCAGACCGCCGCTGCCACCTCCTTCCGCCGCCGCTTCACATCCGGTCACATCTCCCGCCCCCGTCGCACAGTATTTGTCACACAAAGAAGACTCGCAGACACAAGTGGCAACGACGCCGGAATTCGCCCCGCCGCCTGCCAATACCGCCTCCTCCGCCGCCATATCAGAGAATGCCGCCTCCTCAAGAGCAGACCACCGGAACGACCTCCGCCACCTGAAATTGTCGAGCCATCTCCAATCGAGCTCGAGCCCTCGCCGAAGTTCCTGTCCAGAGGAGGGCCGCGGCGGCGCTCACCGGAAACACCGTCCTCCGACGACCTCGAAATGGACCAGCAGAGATTAAAACAGACTGGAGATGATGGACATGAGACCATGGACAGAACATGGACAGAAATTCAATTTGGGGGTTAGGGTTTTTTTTTAAATTTGATAAACTATAGGGATCAAATTGCAATTTTATAAATTTTAATTATATAACAATTTAGTGCATGAGTTAAATTTGTAATTTAATAAAACTTTAACCATTGCACTTTAAATGTACATCGCATTGCACCTTATCGCGTTCGGAATTGCATATTAGGAGTAGCACTAAACATACAAACTGTACTTTAGTGCATGTGATATTGCACTTTATCGCACTAGTACATTATGCGCAAATGACTAAAATATCCCTGTGTGAAAATCAAAACTTCACTTATTTATCGAAATGTCACCGTGTGTTTGACTAAAGCTGGACCTTTTGACCGCATCTAGTTGATATATCGCATCCAAGGGCTATAATTCATTCTTATTTCTTTCACTATGACTCTTTCTCATATGATCTCTTCTTCAACTAGTCATTATCGTTAATACAAATAAATAAACCTAATAAAAATAATATTTAATATTATTGTACTCAATTTTTACCATAATACTGTTATCTATTATTGTTTATTTACTGAAAACTTTTATTGAATCGATTAATATAATTCGGTAACTTATCCACTGACTCAATCACCTATCAGTTATATGCTAATTGTTATTTGTCCATAGGCTTTTGGTTAATGGAGGGGATTTTTTTGGTTAATGGAGGTGATTTTTTTTGGTTAATTTATTATATCTATGGTTTGGTTTACAAATTTGGAAGAGCGTGAAATTGTCATAGAAAGATTTGAAGGGAAAGAAAAATAAAATATATTATATTTTTTTCCCTGTCATTGTATTAAATTGAAGTGATCATTATATCTAATCTTATTTCATTGGATATAATTGATCGCATGAACTTTCGTCCGTTGTAAACATACACAAAATATTCTAATGCGTTAAAAATAAATATAAAATAATTAAAAAAAATAAATCTATCTAAATAATAAATAAGTCAAAAAATATAAATGTACAATATATTAAGCTTATAAAAACACACTATTCAATATATATAATGCGCACATTTTTTTACCTATCATGTCAAATAATTAACAGACTGCCAGTTCGGATGCCAATAGTATGTGTAATTGTGTGGAAGTGTATAATGTGTAGTGATATAAAATGAGAATGAAATTTTTGATCTATTTACCTTATATTACCTATTTGTATTATATTAGATTATCTCGTTCTTAAATTAAGGGGAATATTATCTCTATACTATGACTAATTAGGCCTTTTAGCTATTTATTTATCTTGATAATGAGTTTCTATTGGTTCCTTTTAGTTAGACAATTGTGTGTTTTAATATTCATTAATTAACGCGGCCTTTCTTAGTGCACTATCATTATTCTGCTTACTTTAAGTGTCTAAAGTTAATTCATACTTATCCAGAATTAATGAGTGTGCGTAATTGTCTGTGATCATATGGTGATCCACATGATCGCATAGAATTTTCCTGCAAATTCATAAATAAATAAAAAAAAAAAATGAGAATATTGCCCTTATTAGCATCTTATGATCGTGCTTCGGTTTCTTGTTTACTTTTTCAGTAGCTTGAGCTTTTCATCAATGGCAACTTTCATCATTGGTAGGGGAAGGTCAAACTAGTTGATGTATTTANTTTTATTATCAATAGCTTGATGAATTTATCAAGTTAATGAACTTCTATTGATAATAGTCCAAATTAGTGCACATGTGTATGGTTTTTGTCCAAATTACCAATTGATTATATTGATCTTGGGTTCAAATTGTCGTTAGCGAAATTGAGATTTATAGTCTTTAAATTGATGTTTTATAATAACTAACATACATTACAAACTATCAGAAATTTTAATTGCAGTTGCCGTTTTAATTTATTCATAGTGTCGTCAACTATGTTTCGAACTTTCCGGATCCATATCCATTTCATGCACACTTTATTTTGATTTGCTTTTATATTTTCTTGACTTATATATCCATGTAAATTGGACGGATTAAGGATTTTATAAGATTCATTTTGATTTTAGTATAGAAATTATCATTGTATCTAGAACGTAGGCATTAATTTTTATTTTTATAACGATGTAATTTTATTTTTTGGAAAAATTCAACTAAAAAAAAAAGAACTTTAGCTCCTTTTAACCACCAAACAAAACTCAATATCGAACAAATATTCCTCGAATGTCCCAAGATCTACAAAATATTTATTCAATATTCTACTTTAATTTTTGTAACTAAGTAATCCCTCGTGTCATAAAAATAGTCTCATTTCATACCGTTATACTACTCATCTTATTGTCCCATTTAATCTATACTTATATAATAAGGTTATTCATTTAATTGATTTATTTATTTGTTTTATTTTAAAAAGATAAGTATAATAAAAAGATTTTAATAATTAAAAAAATTAAATACCAAATAAAAATGTATACTTTGACTTATTTGATTATACCAAATATATTCCTATTTAGTATATACATTAAATACTTACTAAAGTATTTATTTGTTTTATTTGTCAAAGTTAAGTATAGATTTGTTTATATTATCAAATCATAAAAAAATATTAAATCCATATTGTAAAAAAAAAATCATATAATTTTATAACAATTCTACTACACTATTTAACAATATTCCTTTTTTATTATATAATAAAATAATAATTAAATATTATATGGTGAACAACAATAATTAAAACTGTTACTTTCTCTTATATCAACGGATAAATTTATATGCTAAAATTAAATTTTTATTAGTATAAATATTTTAGTGAGATAATATATTAATTATTTTACAAGCTAGCCCTCACATGCTCATATTTAATGTTTTAAAAGATGTAAAAAAAAAACTTATAATAACTCTATTGTTTTTTAGACTTAAACGTTGATTAAAAGAGGTAAAAATTCCTAATTTTTTAGACTTAAACGTTGATTAACATCATAGATTGAGAGTCTATATTTAGTAAAATTCCTAATTGTAATAAAAAAATTAATTTTTGCTATATTTTAGAATATCTTTAAATTCATTATAAAAAAAAAGTAAAAAAAAAATACAATGAAAAAAGCAAGTCAGCTATATATCGATTTGTTGTACTCCTCAAATCATATTCACAATTTGGCTACAAGGAAAGGAAACTCATTGATTAAAATATCTTTAAGACTCCACTTGAATATTATAAAACTTATATTGAACATTGTACAATTTTCTTGCGTGTTATAAACTTTTATTGAATATTGCATCTTATAATATTAATATTCTCCAAATAAATATATCTCGTGCTTCGCAGTACTATATATATCTCGTACATTTTTCTTTATTCATGTATATAATTATAAGCCTAGATAAATAGCCTTAAAATTGTGCACCTCGTGCATCGCACGGGCTCTGTACTAGTTGTGTAAGAAACGTTTACCCATGTCCCCATGTAACTCACCATTAAATAATTTCGGGATTGTCTAGTTAATATAAGCAATAAAAAAATTGTCGTAAAATACTAAATTGAAGAAAATAAAAAGAGAGTTCTCTACATAGAAGTACTTAGAAAATAAAAAAAACAATACTTACTTTTACTTACCAAACCCAAAACTGAAAGCATGAAAGCATACTTACAGGAATATAGTACTTCACCACAATTAGCCTGTGTTAAAAACCTTAACAATATAGTTCCTTTCTAATCAGGGAGGAAAGGTAACCTGTCAACAGTGATGGCTGACCCATTCAAGTCATCATTCATCTCCCGAAAGTTTCCAAATTCGATAGCAATATCATCGTCATCAGCTTCAGGGGCATTTTCGTCTTCTTTATTACTCTGGAAATTAAAAATCCTGAGGCGTGTGCCGAGATCAGTCGAAACCCTTTCGGATTTGAGATTGTATTTACGAATAAGATCCTTTTGAAGCAATATGATATTCGACGCGCGGGGAAGGAGCTCCACAGTCTCCCCATTTGGGATTACCCTTTGCTCAATTGCAATTCTTGCCTCCTTTAGGGGGGGAAAATGAAAAGAAACAAAAAAATGTGTAATTTCACACATTAATTCGGCCATCATATGTTTGAAGTTATAAATAAAAAACCAAATTACCTCCAAGGCATCAATTCTCTCCGAGTCGTTTGCCTTGGCTTCAGGTTCATAAGACTCGAAACCATCTGCATAATCCGAGATTAAAGCTTCGATAGCCTTGGCTATCTGAACCGAAGAGCTAGTCTGGAATAGGGGGAAAAAAAAGTAGAAAATGATGGAACAAGATTTGAACTGGAAGAAGATGCAAGAAAAAGAAAAAAAACTTCTACATTTTCTTGTGGTGACCTAAATTCATATAAAGTTATTCAGGTATTTATTTATTTATTTTCTTTTTGGAAGGGATAATAAGAAATGAAAAGCTAAAAGATCAACAGAAGTTGCCTTGCTGACATAAGTTGGAATGCCACGAGATTTTGCGGCAGCTTGAAGCCGAGCATTCTTCTTGAGCTTGGACTGCAATGCCAATAACACGTCTGCTTCGCTTATGTTGTCAGTAAATTCAATTGTGTCATCTAACTTCAATTGTTTCATCGCTTGTATCACACTTGCCTCTGCAATCTACATAACCTCCGTTTCAAAATAGTGTAGCTATCACAAATAACTAATATTTCCCAAAATCAAGAACTCGTTAAATTAAAACTAGTAAAAACTGATTCACCAGTTGATTCTCTAGAAATAAACTATCAACTGGCCGATTTCACATTTCATTTGACATGCATATAGTGATTCATCGGAATACGAACGATGAAGGTTCTTACCCCATATAGAAATATACAGAGAGTATCCTCATCTTTATAAGAACCCTCTTCTGGGACAACTTTCTCATGGCAAAGGGAACCATTGTTTATTTCATAGTCATCTCCAATTTCACTATCAAAGTTCGACACAGACACATCACGTGCAAGTAATTGTGGCTCAAATTCATCTGCTGACCCCTGATTTAGCTTCCTAACCTCAAAATTCGGGTTACGTCCTGAAAAAACAAATGGAACAATTATTGCACACGTGTTTCAAGACGTTACAGGATAAGTAAGCATCATTTCTCATACATAGAAGGAATCAAAAACCTGAAAGAACAGCATCCACCGTAGCTTCTAAACTACGATGAATACGTATTTCTGTCTTAGAAATTATCTCGACTCCAGAAGTGAAAGTCGAGGGTCCTTTCCTCTCCAGCACACTTTTCTGGACACCTCTTCTGCTCGCCTCTTCATCTCCTAACGTCACGCTCTGGAAGACAGCAGCAATAATGTGACAAATGACAAATTTTGTTCCATCAAAGAGAAAAAGAAAGAACTGAAAATAAAGCAACAAGAACTTCAGTTTTACGAGGCAGATAAAAACATAAATTCCTGACTATCCAAATGATGAAACAATGTTCAGTTTGACTGAATGATCGTGAATTTTTTTAAATTTGATTTTTCGAGTGTGGTAAAATTCGAAACGCATGGATGGAACATTATAGATGAGAACGTTAGTTCCGAAATTACCTGCACTCCTCCAACAAGCATCTCCAAAGCCGGATTCATCACTAAATTCTCAATGGTTACCCCATGAGCAGTTGCAACTAGCTGAATTCCACGTTGTGCAATTGTACTTGCAGCTGCAGCTTCAAGCTTAGTACCGATTTCATCTATCACAATCACTTGTGGCATATGATTTTCGACAGCTTCTATCAGGACCTACAATAATCACAAAAACACCTATGCATTGGGAACTATACACTGTAACTGGATAAAAAGAGCCATCTGTTAGGCCAACGTTTGTTTTCCATAGAAATAACCACAGGCACAATTTAAAGAGAGGCCATTCTTTGCATTTTTTTAATGATATTACTTTATTGTAATGTAGAGAATAGAGCAATTTTTATACCTTATGTTGCATATCAGTATGTGGGACTTGCATCCTCCGAGCATTGCCTATTCCAGCATGAGGAATATCTCCATCACCACCAATTTCGTTTGAGGTGTCAACAATCATTACACGCTTCTCGTATTCATTTGCTAGCATACGAGCTATATCCCTTAAACACAACAACATAATATAATTTTTGCATGTTGAGACTGATGTTTACTTGTTTGACCATTCCACATTCAACTCGATAACATAACACAAATAACATACAGAAAAAGGTAGAAGAATAGGAACCACCTAAAATAACTTACTATGAACTAGTGGCATATGAAATGAGATTTTACCTAAGCAGCAAGACTCGAGTGCATGCAAAGAACAAGTATTTAGAAATCGAGGTGGAGATCAAACAGGTTGTTCCATGTAATACTCAGACGGCAAAAAAATGTTTAAATTAAGTTTGACAAGCGATAAAAGAACCAGGAAAAAAAAAAAGCACACATTGACCTGATAATCGTGGTCTTTCCCACCCCTGGAGGCCCAATAAGCAACAAAGAACCCCCATCTTTAACTAAATCCCGCAACAAATTAGCACTACCAGAAACTGCACGACCTACACGGCAGGTTAATCCAATAATCAAGCCTTTCCTGTTTCGAATTCCACTAATACGGTGCAAAGTTCGGCTAATCCCAGCTCGATTATCAACTGCAAAATCCCCAACCTGCATCATGCAACATCAACTCTCAGCTAGCTGCAACACTGAACATGGCAGAAACTACACATCCACTCCTTCAAACTGAAAAATAACAAAACGCAGCATCATCACCACACCTGTGACGTGGCATGCTGGATTTCCTCCATGGTAATAGGGTGATCCGACAGCACAAAGTCCCCGGAAGGGAAACGGGCCAGGGGCTTCCGGCCCAAATCCATGACCACCTCAATCAGGTCTTGGAGCTCCGGATGCTCGCTGGCCTTCCGCCGCATGTCCTCCGGCAAAAGAGCAAGCAGCCGACCGAGCTCCACGTTGAAATCCTCGGCACTGCTCCCAACTTCGTACGAGGAGAATCGAGGCCGTAGCGAGCATAGAAGAGGAGAAGCCTTGAAGTTTCCGCTCGAGTGACCCGGCCATGGAAATGGTCCTCTGGTGGGTACTGGCGAGTGGAAGGTGGCGATGGTGCGGGTCGGGTACGGGTTTGGGAGAGCCTTGAGATGGGGCAGATGATGGGACAGGAGCATTGGCGATTTTGGCGGTAAAATCAAGATTAGGGTTCTAGGGTTTAGAATTTGGGGATTTTGCCTTTCCAAGTATGCCCGTCGTCTAAGCCGAGTCTATATTATATTGATTATTTTGATTGTTTGGTCAGTTTCGAAAATTTGGAATAAATAGCATCTTCGCAACTTGAGAGTTGAGATGAAATGGGACACAAAACTTTTCTCTCTTGTGAATAGAAAGAAAAATCTCCAAATCACACACTCGTCCACTTTTGTTGTCCTTTTTTTTCAACGAATTGACAGCTTCGATCACCAGGCCGCCATAGGTCGAGACACAATTGGAGCACTCTTTTCCACCTCGATTAGAGCTTTATGGGTGTCATGGCCGCCGGTGGTTCTTGACGTTCAGTCTTTCTCCCCAGCTACGTGAGGGGTCACCAGTCAACATGTCCTTCCCAAATCGTGGGAGTCCGTGTGCGCTGCAGGTATCGATTAGTGTGCTTTTTTTTTCTGCTTGTTTGAGGTTGGTTGTGCACTGTGCCTCCGAGTTGTTGTGCTCGATTCGGCCAGGCCGACGAGAGGCACGGCTTCTTGAAGCTCTGGGCGGTGCCTCTCTGGAGTCTTGTCTCGAGCCCTCCGGTGTCTTTTGGCGGCTCACCCTTTTTTCTCGATGCTGACGTCCATCGGAATCTAGATATGATCTGAAAATTTGACTAGGCGGTTTCAGTAACCGCAGTTTTGGGTTTGGATTCTAATTTCGTTGTTATGTTGGATTTCTTAGTTGTGGTTTGGGACAGTTTAAATTGAGAGATAACTGGTGGAAATATGATGTGAGCATGATGTGGATGAAAGAAAATCTAATTCGTAATTAATGCGTGAGAATGAATGCAAATGACCTTACAACTCAAATTTAACTTAGTTTTAACCAATGTTCTGAAAACCGGACCGGACCGACCGGTTTGACTGGTTCAACCGGGAACCAGCATGTATACCGGTCCAGATTGAGGAATGAAACCGTTCAAGCTCAAAACCGGGAACCACACCGGGAACCAGTATGTATACCGGTCCAGATTGAGGAATGAAACCGCTCAAGTTCAAAACCGGCTAAAACCAGCAAAACCAGCAGCAGTTTGTCCGAATGGGCTGTCCCATGCTGTAGCTCATGAAGGGCAAGTAGTAAAATCACTTATATAGCTGCATTTTTTTGCTTGTTACTCCGATGTGGGATTTCAACGAATAAAGAGTTGCTGAAATATTGGGCCGTGTGTTGGGCCTTACAATTTTGTCATATGAATAACTAGTGCGCAGCCCGTGCGACGCACGGGTAAACAATATTAATTAATTAAATTATTACTATAACAAAATGATGAAATTCCAACGGAAAGTTTCAATACAAATATATTTTAATGGAATTTTAATGAAAATTCCAACAAAAATATTATGTTGGAATGAGTTTTCTATTGGAATTTCCGTTAGATTTTGACGATTCAAACGAAGGTGGAAATCTCCAACGGTAAAAAACCCGTTGAAAAAATAGCCGTTGGAATCATCAAATTCCATCTAAAATTCAAATGGAAAAGTCATTCCAATGCAATACTTTCGTTGGAAGCTATACTATTAGAATATCTGTTGGAATATATTATCATAGGATTTTTCGTTAGAATATAAAAAAAAAAAAAAAAAAAATTATAGTGTATAATATAAATTCAAGATGTGAGTAATTTGTAAGCAAAAATTTAACATCCTTATGGTCCTTAATATATACAAATGCATTAACAATTAAAGCATATAAAATATTAGTAATTGGACATTATTTCACACTAATTTTTTGAGAGATGTTCAAAAGTATATTAAAAATTAGATATTAGGTCACGCTAATTTTATGAGAGATGTTTAAATGTATTAAATATTAGAAATTAGTTTACGCTAATTTTATGAGATTAGATATATTTATATGATATATATAAAATAAATATTGAAATGATACGCAGAATTATGCAAGTGAAAAATTTAAATAGTATATATAAAATAAATATTGAGATGATAGCAAGCAAAATTGTGAAAATTTTGCTACCATCAAAAAAGATTGAAGAGTTTTTATCATTATCATTGCTGTGTATCGATTCAAAATTGATATTGAAAAAATATTTTTAAAAAAGATTTTTACCATAAATAAGGGATTTAGATCATATTTTTTATATAGCTCATCGATAAATATGAATTGTATATTGGGTTATGATCATATCTTTTATATAGCTAATAAATATGAATTGTATATTATATATATCATTGCAAACTAATAGGGAAATTATATGAAAAAGATTTTGAATGCAATTAATGAAATAAATTTTATTTATTTAAATTGTATTATATTACTTCATTAATAGTAGGTAATTACCTTACATTCAAAACAATCGTTCAATTTAGAGAATTCAAATCTTTCGAAATTTTCTCAATGACTTTTGAGTTATCTAGACACTTTCCTTGAACAAACTTCTACATATTAGGATTTTTTTGATACAGTCCGATTCCAAAAATGAGAAAGAATTTTTAATTTAAGAACTAAATCAACATTGAACAAACTTCTACATATTAAGATTTTTTTAATGCAGTCCGATTCCAAAAATGAGAAAGAATTTTTAATTTAAGAACTAAATCAACATTGAACAAACTCCTTAATTTCAGGATTTTGTGAATGCAGTCCCATTTAAAAAATGAGAAAGGATTTTTATTTTAAAAACTAAATCAATATTATCGAAAATTTTCTAAAATTAATTAAAAGAAAACCCACCATTGTAGGGTGCATTTAATGATGCCCGAGTTGATTGTTAAGATTATTACAAACTTGCCGAAAATGGGATGCATTTAATGTTGGATGAATTTTTTTAGTTACTATTTTTGAAAAATGTTAATTCTTATTATATAGATATAGATTTTGATCCTGTATGCATTTAAAGTCCAACAAAGGTCATGGTACTAGTTTTTTAAAATTAGTTTTTTAATTCATATCACTTGTTTTTCAAATCAAACTGCATTTGTTCATGAATTTTGGATCATCTCATCACTTAAAATTATCAATTGAGCTAATTAATTTAATCAGAATAGTTGAAAATTAGAATAGTTTTAAAAGACTAATTTTGCTTATTGGCCTTACTAATCTATCATGTGAATAACTTTAAATATATGGTAACACCTGATTTAATTTCTCGTCCATTATAATCACATTAATTTTTATGAAAGTAATATTACTTATTAATATTATAATATCACGATAGTTAAAATAGTTAGACTATTCAAGTTTTTATTTGTTTTTCTTTTATTTATTAAGAAAAAATATCATTAGACACTATAAAAATAATGATAAAAATATATACAATTATATATTATACATATAAAATAAATAAAATTTATATATTAATTAAACCGGTTCGACCGGTTCGACCACTGGTCCAACCAGTGAACCATTGAACCGGTAGCCTCACCGGTTCGATGACCGGTCCGGTTTTCAGAACATTGGTTTTAACTAAACTTCACTATTCTCAATATAATCAATATAGTTAAATAATATCATTCAATCACTATTACGCATCATATCAACTTTAATTCACTAACTACTCACATAATTATAATTACATATAACTTATTTCATACTTTTACACAACTTTAATTATTTTTTAAATATTAATTTGAATTCAAATTCAAAATTTCAGTCAAATTTAACTTGACAATTTTTTTTTTTAAATTAATTATAATTAATTAAAAAAATCAATCAAAACTAAGTAAATTTATATTCTCACTCCTAGTTCCCCAATCTTCCTAGTCAACTGATGTTAACCTCACAACGTGGCTAAAACACATGAGAAATCTCTTTATTTATTTGATTATTCCTTGACGTGTAGATGTTTGTTTATTGGATAAAGACGCTTTATTTTATATTTAGGATGTGATAATATTGACCTGTCATGTCGGCTGGCCAAGTTGGCCGTTCAAACCCATAAATTTCTGTGTTCTGATTTGGCTATGCTTTATAAAGTGCCACTTGCCACCACTCACACAAAGGGATAAATCAACTATATTGGTCTCAACTCTCAACTATATTGGTAGAGGGGCCAACTTTAGAAATTGGATATCAATAGGAACGCTACGTGTTAATCAAATCAAAACACTTTATTGTTAACTAGTACTATAAGGGAGAACAACAGTGCGGTTCAGTAAAAAATCGCATCAGACCCTAAAAATTAAAGAACCGAACCTAGCAAAAAAATAACTTAATCGCACTGCATCTTAGAAAAAAAATCGAACTGAAATTTCATCACATTAAAATAACCGCAAGTTTTTGATTTTATCTAGATTTTTCAGTATGACTATACATATGTCCATTTTGTTTTTTCCATATCTTAAGATGAAATGAAAGGTTTGTAACAAACCCACATCATATTAAATACTAAATATGTTATATAATATCCATAAAACATATAATTCATTTTAATATATATAGTTGTCACGACTTATGATCTCAATCTCACAGTACCGATCAAGCTTCAACAATGGCCATGGGACGCCGGCGAATGACCACTCCCTTTCTAACCGTCATCTCCTTCCTCATCCTCTGCGGCCTAGCCTACGGCCGTTTCATCTCCGACCAACCGGATCTCGTCTCCGATGGGATCGGAGCCGCCAGGTTCTCGCCGTTCATCCGCCTCCCGTCGGCTGAGGAGACCTGCGAGCAGACCTACGGTTTCATGCCGTGCACCTCCACCGCACTCGGGAACCTCTTCCTGATCCTGGTGTACGGCTACCTGATGTTCCTCGCCGCGACCTATCTCTCAACCGGCAGCGAGCTTCTGCTTGAGATCCTCGGCCCCGGAATCGTTGGAGGGCTTTTCCTCCCCATGCTCGGAGCACTTCCTGATGCTATGCTCATTCTCGGTAAAGTTCTCTCTCTCTCGAGATTATATCGTAATTTTGAATTTGAGCTCTGAGTTGCGTTTGGAGTGAAGATTGAGGCTTATAATTAGGAAAAAAAATAGGTCAAAATTGGAGTTTGATTGTTCAGAATCTAGTGGCACATGATCATTTCTGCTTGATTTAGTTGTCTCTGTAATTTTGATGCGTTTGATCGAGATTTGATAATGTCGTTTGTCCCGTTCTGTAATTGAAATGAGTACTATTGAACTCAATTGTTTATTATTGTTTGTGAACTCAATTGTTTATTCATGTCGCATTATTTGTTTGAATCCTCGACAAGTGAAGCTATATATGCTCTACTAATATAAGCAGTCGTGTATGATGATGCGTTTCTTTTGATTTTCAGTTTCTGGGCTGTCTGGAAGCACAGAAGTTGCTCAAAGCCAGGTCTCAGTTGGAATGGGACTTTTAGCCGGGTCAACGGTAATGCTACTCACTGTGATCTGGGGTACCTGTGTTATAGTTGGGAAGTGCGATATTGAAAATAATACTGCCATAGACTGTCAAGACACGAAAGGCTTCAGTTTTAGTGGTTTGTCTCTTACATTTTCCTCCAATTTTCCAATTCCCGGTTGTGCAGTTGCTGAAGTTTTTGTGATGTGGTCTGAGTTAATATAACATATTTGCAATTAAACATAGAGATTCCCTTTTACTTGGCTCGTGCAGGTTCTGGCATTACTACTGATATCTGGACGAGCTATGCGGGCATTATTATGGCTGTATCTGTGATTCCTTTCATAATTGTCCAGCTACCACAAATCTTGCACATAAACTCAGGAAGACACTTGACTGTCTTGATTGGCCTAATTGTGTCTGCTTCTCTTTTGGTATCCTATTGTCTGTACCAGGTACTCAACAGATTTGAAAGGCTAGATTTCATATTTTCCATTACCATCATCTAGATTTCACATTTTATTTACTGTTTAAGTGCACATAAAGAACCATGTATTAGGACCAGGGAGCCAGTTCCCAAGGGTTTTACATTTTGAAATTACGGCCGTTTTTACAGTATTTCTGCTAAAAGTGGAGCCCTCTATTTCTTTTCTGTTATACACCTTCAACATGTTTTAGTTGATGATACATCAAGACCAAATTTAATACATTCCCCTGAAAGAATCCTTTCAGTTATGATGGTTTGAGTTTCTGTCCCGATGTGGTTTCAGTAGCTCATCCATCCCATCTACCATCAAAGGTTTACAAGTTATATCCAGTTTGAAAGCAAGTCCAGAAAGGTCGATAATTCTGTTGTACAGTATTGATATAAGTTATGCATCTATGCATTCGACATATCCTGTTAGTTATTATTCAGCAATTTGCAAAAACATGCGTTGTTGCAACTTGGGTGGAGAAAAAAGAGAAATCGTTTTAGTATTGCTACGAAATTTATACTCTTTTTTTTTTTAATCAACTAGAATGCCTCGTTTACATTTCAACCTCACCTCCAC